CTCTTGATGGCCTGAGTGTCCATAATACAATAACTCGATCACCTCTTTTAAGACACCATAATAATCAGTTTCATCTGCAGAATTAATGGTGGCTCCTTTAACACAAACACCACAGTTATATGTCTTTCTAGTACTAGTAAATTCTTCAGTAAAAAATTTAAAGCCGTTCACATAGAACCCATTATAAACATTCACTTCAAAGATCGAGCCAACTGCAAGGTGGATAAGTTGTTCATTGATTTCTTATTGTCCACTAAACACCTATATTTGAAAAAAAAATTAATTTAGTAATATTTAATATTTAATTAAAAATTTGAGAAAATAATATATAACAATTCATTACCATATTTTAAACCATTGAACAAAATTATTTGTTCGCAATCTTTGTAGTTGTTCATGTGACAAATTTGCACCAACTTCTTCCTCAAATTTACTGGAAAATAACATTTATTTATTAATTAAAACGTTATGAAAATCATATAGGCTATTAAACATCGTGTAGTTCTTATTTTTCTAAGAAGTAAAACTTACGTTACCCAAACATCAACCTCCTTGCAAGTTAGCAAGACATATAGTTCAGCTGCATCTTTCTCCTCCAATGTTAAACATCGTGTACATGAGTGAGCCCCTATTGATTCACCAGTGGAACAAAATACGGATAACTTACCTAGAACATTGGTTCCAATGTCACCATAGTTCCTTGGAGGCTGATTCCAGCTTGTCTCAACATCATCCCCAAAATAACGAGAGCAAAAGTGGGATATCTCGTATAATATAAATGCCTCAACAATTGATGCCTCGACATGAATTTTATTCCCTATGGTACTCTTAAGTTTGCGCATGCGCCTGAAAAGAAATACTGATAAGATTAATTTACAAAAAAGTAATCAAAAGTAAGTTTTAAAATTATCAATCAATTTCTTTGTATTTTTTACCTTTCAAATGGGCACATCCAACGAAATTGAACAGAACCACCAACTCTGGCCTCATATGGAAGATGAATTGCTAGATGTTCCATAGAATCAAAGAATGCTGGGGGGAATATTATTTCTA